TTTGTTGTAGTTCCCATGGAAATAAATAGGAAGCCTTGCTTTTGAAGGAACTTGAGCGTATGCAGCCTGAGAAAACTTCCATTCACTAAATGTGGCCCAGGTGAGCCAAAAGGTTGGACATCCATGGGCCAAGGATGAGAGTGGGCAAGAGAGTAAAGGTATGGCTAGGGTACTGGAGTTCTGAATCTGGGCTTTGGGAGAAGCTTTGAGGTTCAGCATTGTTGCGGTGGATTCTTGTCAGGGTGAGGAATGCACTTTGAGGTACAAAGAAGGCTTAAGGTCTGTGGGTTTTGCAGTCTGAGTGAGTCACAGCAGCACCAACACTGCCTGAACCCCTCTTTCCTTTTCCATATCTTCATTTTTTGCTGGCCAATCTCCTCTTCCCTGCTCTCCGTCTCCCATCTCTGTTCTCCAGGCTTCTCCTGATCTCCCCATCTCATTAGAGGCAGCTTTCTACCTACCAGCCTATGATCCAGGATGGCTCCTACAGGTCCTGGGTAACTTTTGTCAGATCTTTGTACATGATTTCTCTACCACAGACCTTCCTGGAGACAGTGGAATCCTCTGTGTACAGAATGGAGAAGCCCTTAAGGAAGACTGGAAACTTCTGAGATGAGAATCCATATCCAAGTCCTTTTAGTATGCAGGGTGTCACAGGGACTGAGGAAGAGGGGATCTCAGAACCAACATGCAAACAGGTGCTGCTGCTGGCCTGTCAGAGGCACTGACAGATGTGAGCCTGCAAGCACAGACCCCAGCCAGGAGCCAAGGGATGGCCCGTCAGCTATTGCAGGCTGAAGTCACCACACAGTTGGATTAACAGCCGTATGCCTCCTGCTGGATTGTGGGTTTGTGAGAACAACTGACCCAACAGCTCCAGAAATGCCTCTCAGGAAGGAAGACAGACAAAGTCACTGCATGTCCTTTGTTTTGATAAGGTTCACAGAGAGCCTGGTTCCTAATGTACAGCATTTCTGAGTGACACTGCACAGGTACAAACTGAGTAGTAATTGATGTGGATAATGATAATTTAAGTGAAAAACATTAGAATACATAAAACACAGAAAAAAGCTTTCAATAAATTACACTTTGACAATGAATACATAAACCAAAAATATACAGTTTGATACTGTTAAAATCTGCATTACAATTCTTAGATAGAAAAAGTTGGGCAGCTCACTGATTTCAAAACCCATTTGTTCAACAGTTTCCACAGAGCATCCTTGAGTTCCTTATTCCTCATGCTGTAGATGATGGGGTTCATTACTGGAGGCACCACTGAGTACAGAAATGACACCACCAGCTGCAGGGATGGGGAAGAGATGGAGGGTGGCTTCAAGTAGGCAAACATCACAGTGCTGACAAAGAGGGAAACCACAGCCAGGTGAGGGAGGCACATGGAGAAGGCTTTGTGGCGTCCCTGCTCAGAGGGCATCCTCAGCACAGCCCTGAAGATCCACAAATAAGAGAAAAGAATGAAAACAAAACACCCAAAGATTAAACAAAGACTGAAATAAATAATCCCAGTTTCCCTGAGGTAGTCTGTTTCTGAGCAGGAGAGCTTGAGGATCTGAGGGATTTCACAGAAGAACTGCTCCAAAGCATTACTAAGGCAGAAAGACATAGAAAATGTGTTGGCAGTGTGCAGCAGGGAATAGAGAACCCCAGTGGCCCAGGCAGCTGCTGCCATGGTGGCACAAGCTCTACTTCCAAACAGAGTGCCGTAGTGCAGGGGCTTGCAGATGGCAACGTAGCGGTCATAGGACAT